TTCAGCAGCGTTATACTGAAAATAACCTGTTTCCAAATTGCTGGGAAACACCATATAAGAGAACTGTATACAGTGTAATTACATAGAAACATTAACAAAAACTCCTATGAGTACCCCCAAATTTTTCAACAACATATGAACATATAATTTATATTTGGGCTCATATATTTAAAACCTCATTTAAAATACATTGACAATAAAGAACAACTTTAAAAAAACGTTACTCATGGCAGCAAATATACAGACTTAGCATATAAGCAATTGTTACTCAGCTATAAAGCGCTAATGAAATCAATATGCCTAATTACTGTCAGAACAACGCTGGAAGGTTCAAAGGAACAGCTGAGAATGTCACAGCCAAATTCTACTCTTGGATGCAAACGTGCAGCAGCCATTCAAGAATTAGCACTGTACTGCACCGCAGGACAGATTTTTCTGCTTCCAAAAGAGCTACAAATTCAGCTGAGCAGGAAACAACTAGAAAAAAAATCATAAATTCAACTGAGTAGGAAACTTGGATTCACAGTAACTGGAGCAGAAGATATCACCTAATTAACACCATGTATTTTGCTGCACTTCCCCTTGCATTTCCATCCCCACAAAATATCTTCACTCTAGATATCTAAAATACTTAACGAGCTCACCTGGACAGAGTGGAACTCTTTAGTTCTGGCATAACTTCCTGTAGGAAAAAATTAACATTAAAAATGAACAAGACAATCAAAACAAAGTCAAGGAAACATTTCTTGGACTTCCTTACAAGAACTGAACACTAAAGGCAATATAATATAATGTTACACTACCATATATATACATAGTATAATGCCATGCTATAGATAAACACTACCTTTTAAAAAGCACACACAAAGATTATTTTTTTTAATCTCATTCTTACAAAAATATGTATTTAAGAGAAGAAAAAGTAATAATCTTCCTCATTCATGATATCAAGCAAGAAGTACTGTCAACAGAACATAAATTAATGAGTTCAAACTGGAAAATGGGGATTGCTTAAGTACAGCAGAACATGAATGGCTGATAAGGAAATATATGGTAAGATGAAATTTACAGACAGCAAAGAACATAAGAAATTTATCAATCTGGAAACAGCTCAACAAAATCTATTACATTCTTTTGAATTGCAGCCAAAAAAATAAGTTAGGAACACAAAACAACTACATATTCCTAAAAATCAATGAGGACTGTAGGAATAACTGAAACACAAGCATATGCTACCAAAATAACATCCATTTCTTGAGGAAAAATAAAGCAATGTTTTTAAAGAGTTACAGTAAAAACAGACATTATTTTGTAGAGGTAGGAACTAGAACTTTAATCTACCCATCATTATTAAAGCAAACAAAAAGGGAGCAGCTATGTCAGTTGGCCTACAACAAAGAAGTTTAATGGAACTATAAATTTATCTGAAGTCTTTGAGGGGAAAAAAAAAGATTAACGGGTACTTATGGATAGCACAAAAATACAATGTTTAAGGAAAGATTTACCTTACTTTATTACACTCAAGATTTTTTCACCACCAAATTGCTGATTTATTTTGCTTTCAAACATAGGTCTGACAGCTTACTGTTATTTGAGCATTTACCATGTATCCCAGAGATTCTCAGGTAAAATTACCTAATACCCACGTATTCAATAAATACCAGTACTCCCATTATGCAAGTCTTTTAAAAAAAATCACAAAATTCATGTTATTGCAAATAAATAGCTTGCTATAACTTTATAAATATTTAAATAAAATTATGATATGCATAGGTTAGCCTCCTAGACATACAACTAAACTAACAAATCCATGGTCCTTTTCTTCTTTCAGAAAAGTAGTTCAGAAAGCCAGGTTTATTTTTGGAGAGTTAGGACTCCTACAGATTGCCTTTACGGCAAACTCAAAGCACGCTATCCTCTGCTTCTAAACATTTTGTACTAGCTATACGACTTTGGTTAGCTAATGAGTGGTAGAATTAAAATTGCCTTTTTTCCCCTCCCTCTCTCCCAGATCTGAAGGTATCCCTATGAGAAAACATGCGTATGCTCTCAGATTGCAGAGGCCATGAGGCTTATGAGATCAGTACATTCTCCAAATCCCTTCCTTTCACAGAAAGCATATAGTGGCTTCCCTCTTTTGTAGAGCATTGCTTTTCAACCCGAAGTGCCTAAGACTATTTGTAAAAGGCTAAGGAGGGGCAGCTAAAATAACGCTAATTCACACATCCTTCATGGCAACAACGCTCAAAGTGTTTAAAGGCATCCACACCTCTACTGGAAAATGTAATGAAATTGTAAATTGAAGAAGTGGAGGAGTCACTGATCAAAAGAGAGGATTCCCTGTTCCTTACTACAGTAGGTATATTGTTTTCCAAAGCCAAGAGATGCTTATTCTATTGAAAGGCAAAAAGAACACGTTCCTGTTTCTTTTAAACTGATGCTTAAGTACGTTAGTGCATATTTAAGCTGGGTTATATTAAACAGCACTCCAGCAGCATGGCGTCTTTTTTTTTTTTTTCCAGCCCATTTACTTCCTTACTGTGCAACTGGTTTTAAAGTGTTCTCAACCTGTCCCTTCCTCCCCCCTCCCTTTTTTTTAAAAGAAACTTCTCAGGTAAGTAATCAATTACTATCATCTGAACATTTCCACTACTGTGATTCATGAAATTGTAAGTATTATTGTCCAACCCAAACTCCAATTCAGGTAATATCGCTCCCAACACTTCTCAGTCATGTCCGGGAATACTGCCCTCTTCCCTTCCGACACTACGCTTTCGCACGGTGACGCGGGCCAACATTCCACCTCACATTGTATTCCAGTAGTAAAGTGACTATACGTAATTTGTGATAGATTTTGCCACATTGAGTGTTACAGGTGAAAGGTTTAATATTTAAAGTAGAATGTCTATTTAATGTAACATGGGAGAGTTTTGACCACCTATTAACATAGCTCCTGCAATTATGGCATGCCAGAGTAGATTTGCAGTTCAGAAAGGTTAGCAAACCCTTGGCATAAGCCTGATTATTTTTTTTTTAAAACTTTCTTACTCCAATACTACGAACAAAAAGTTGATAACCTATGTTAGCATCAATGGAAGAAAGTAGTATTCTTACTTGGCTGATGTACGTGGAATTTTTCCTTCTGTATTTGCAATACTTTATTTAAAAAAGAAAATCTCAGCACTTTTATGAAACTGTCTCTTGCCAATCTATCACTAAAACGTTCTGGAAAGCTGGACGAGATACTTCAATAAACTTTTAAAAGCACCACTTATGACAAGATTTTCATTAGCATAAGAAAGAAGTGAGAAAGTGTAAGGGGAAAAAAAAAAGAATTAAACATTTGCACCACTCTTCATTCTACAGTTAAGGGACTGTTGATATCTTACTGTATAAACTCATACTTTCACAAGTGTAACACATGGGTGATAAGTCACTTTACATTAATACCCGTGGTGAAAATGCCTCCTGAAAACAAATGATTTTTAAGATAGCTTTTTTTGTTCATTAGTTCTGCCATTTTTTTTTGTATGTGCACGCGCTTCTGGCTCAACTGGCTACATGCAAATACTTTAACAAGCAAAGTGTTCGTAACAGCCTCACTGGTTCTAGGTGTTGGGGTTTTTTTTCTTTTTTGGTTCAAAACAAATGGATAGCATGCTTTTACATTAACCTATTGCACAATAAATTACTTTTCCATTAAAGTAATTCCACCACTAGACTGAATAGCTCTAGAGAACCCATTTTGGTCTGCTGGCTCACGGACTCTCAGAATAAAATAATTAAAAAAAATCTCTAGTTAAGCAATTACATACAAATGTACTGAAACAGCCTCGGGAAGTTCATGAGTAAACAACACTTAAAAAAAACCCCTCTGTAATAAAGTACAGTACAGCATACAGATGACATACCATAATGGCTCCATATGGAGCTGTACAGACAACACTAATGCATTTCAAATATTTATTATGGGCCTTTTAAAAAAATTATAGTTAAAAAAATCCCCAGAGGATATTTAAAGCATAAAAACTACTTTCTACCAACAAGTTGATTTATAATCAAAAAAAAAAAATAAAGGAATGAACATTGCATCTGAGCAAGCACTCCATCCCAACCCTAGCCATAGCGCGAGCTTCCTGCAGTAACCTCTGGCCTGTGTTCATAGGGTTACAGGATCCTTTGGAACATTAATGGCCGTCCTGATGAAGGTTGGAGGATCGTCACAGATTTCTAGCTTTCACTCTGAATTTCTCCCTTTGTGTACTTAGGTGAGAATGTTAACATTCTTAAAATAGTTTTATATATGTAACAGAATACAGATTTCTGTTATTAAATCAGCCTTCTAAAAATATAAAAATATTTGATATTGTGAAAAGGTCTTTCAATCATACTTCAATTTTCACAGTTTTAATAAAGAATATCTAATTAGAACCATCACTTTAGAACTAAGATGTGTATTCAGTTGATTTCATGTAAATAGACAGTTAAAATTTACTAAGATTAAATATAGTCAAATTGTGAAAACATACAATCCGACAACGTTGTCATGTGCTCTTTCAAAGAGTGCATAGGACCTTTCTGCAGCAGCCAAAACAGGAAATTCTTTTGATGCAATTCCAGGTCGAAGCTGTAAACATTCCTAATTGTGGTTTCTTGGAAACTTTTGGTTCCTTTCAAGTTTTTATTAGCGAGCTGCACTGGACTTTCCCCCGCCCTTTTCTTCATCAGTTACATACAGTATCATCATCCATCTTTAACTCCTCTGCTTGTTCAAAACTACTCATAAGCACTTCTTCATTAGACTCAGTGTAGTAATCCTTTCCCTCAGTGCACAATGCCCTCTTCCACACGCCATTGTTAGCGAGGCACCCAGTACATGATCTTGAGAAGCAGGCTGATAAGGAAGTCTGCTATGCCTTAATGGGATTTCCTGCAGGTTTTGGATCGTAACCGTATAGGAAAGTAGCTGCTATTACAAGAACGGCTCCGAAGAAAAAGACGCTGAATAGAATAGGGAAGAAAAAAAAAAAAGTTAGCTGTTTTCAGTTGATCAGTTGATCAAATTTTATGAGGTAATAAAATACAAAAGAAATAATATAAATATTTATTAATAATAAAATATAATTTAATAATATAAATATAAACAGGGTAAGTTATATTTGTCCAATTTACAATGAATGAAATAATTTGCCTTGTTTTCTTGGAGAATGAGATAGGAAAAAACTGAAAGGAACTAAGAAATTTTTGTCTATGAATAAGCAAAATAATGTAATATTTAATTTTCAGAGTATGTCAGTAAAACAAAAGTACAGTTTAATGAAGCAACTGTCAAAGGAATAATCAAACCAATCTTATATTCCTTTCTTTTGACCTAAGTGCTATGCAAAATGCAAGCGGAAGCTAAAGAAGTGCCACTACTGTGGTTACCTAACCATTTTCAAACGGTTATGTGCATCACGTCAGAGTTATGTTTGCTTAGACGTCTGAAATTTGTGTCAAAACAAACCACTGCTTCCCAAGAACCAGTCTGCAAGTCAGTAATTCTTAAATTTTGGACTAATATGACAGATGCATAAATATTTATGTAACAAAAAGATAATAAAGGCATCTTTTGTATTGAAACATAAGGGCCTTTCAAGATATTTAGGTAACTACAGGTCTAACATAAAATATCCAAGGCCAGTAGACAATAAATATATACTTTAAGATAAAGAACCCTATCATAAAGACATGGCAATGTTAACGATTTGATTTTCTGAACCAAACACAAAAGAACAGTGGTGCATTATATGATAAGTCTTCAGAGAACAGCTAACCTATTTCATGTTTCACTGCAACACATTCAAGCACTGAAGTACTTATATCTATTACCTCAATCATAAATGTTTGTTGAAATGGAGTTTCTGTTCAAATAAATACAATGCGCATAAGCAACATAAAGATTAATTCTAATTAACAACTCAAGTTAATCAAGTTTTATTAAATGAGATAGAGCCAACTAGCAGCACACAAAACTTGGCTCTATCTCATTTAATTCACCAGTGTTTCCATTTTGCTCATGTTTGCAGGGGCTAACAAGTTACTTATTAATTCCCAGTTGATCATAAAAAATTCTTAAGCTACATTCCATATTTGTTTTTATTTAACAGGATCAGTGTAGGCGACTTATGATCTAAAGTCTTAAGTGTTCCTTTTCTAGCCCCCAATAGCTGTTTTAATTCCTTTTTTTTGAATGTTAAAATAAATATAAACTCCTGAGAACTTTGCAAGTTTTTTTGTATCAGAAATAAAAGTAGCCAATATTATTCAATATATTTTTACGCTTTGACTCAGTGTAGTGTATTACAAAAGGTAGGTCCAGTATAAGCAATGGTAGGTCCTACTAATGTACCTGAAAGTTGGCACATTACTTTTATACTCCATACATTAACATGCACTGCCAAAATAAAAGTCATCATTCCAGAATCTATCAACGTAGACAATAGCAGTGCATGTAGCTACTAAAATCAGATCACAAAATGTCAGGTTACAGTGTACTGGGCTTGGAAGCATATACTATTTTTCTCTCCTGTCAAATATTGTAATTAATAAATATGGTATTGGCTTTAGGGGAAAAAAAAAAAAAACAAACTTTGTCTTTGGACTACTGGACATCCTTGGAAAACTAATCCCTGTGATGTAATTTCCACATTTGTCTGATTGCAATTACCTTTTCCAGAGACTGTTTTGAGATCAGATGAAAAGCTACACAGAAAGATTATCATCCCTATCGTTATTCAGCCATAACTCATCTTGTGCTGAGATGAGCTGTGGAAGATATATGTCCATTTAGCAGACAAAAGAGGAAATCAGAGACAGGCAATCCCTTTTTCACAGTCTTATCCAGAAGAGCCAGCAGAGGGGAGCCTAGTTCAAAGTGTAGAGCCATACCCATACCAGCTAAGTATCAGACCTAAAGAGAAGTGGCTTCATCATAAAAGCGAAGTAAGACCCAGAGAACAAAAAAGGGGAGACGGGGTGAAAACAGGGTTAGAACAAGGTCAACTAGAACAGAGAAAAATACAAGCTGAACAAGCTGAGGGAGAACAGGTAGAGGAAAAGAGATTTAGGTACATTAAAGAACAAACAGTAACAAAAAGATAGAAGAGAAAGGAAAAGTGAACTAAAACACAGAGACAGTAAGAGAGCGGAGAAGCTCAATTATTCCTGATCTATGGTGGAATGGATCTTAGGAAAATTAAACTTTGCCATCTATACTGCAAAACTTAAGCATAAATTATGACATATTGTAAAACTAAACTTTTATGTGAAGGTTTAATCTAAGTCTTTTATGAAGTGTAGCCAGGATTGTTTTTATTTATTTTTGCACTTGTGTCTGGTAAGCACTGAATTTCCAATTTTTTTTTTAATTTTTTTATTTTTTAAAGTACACATGGAAAATAGCTCTTACCTTGTCGGGACAAAATCTTGCAGCCAGAAATAGGAAATCAGTGTTGACAGTATAATAGAGAGAGATGTTGCAAACCCCTTTAAAATGTTGTCTGCATATTTTATAACAGCAGCAATCACAAGGCCTCCAAGTGCCTGAAAAAGACTGAGGTTCAGATGTGCAACCCAATAGTTTCAGTGAGAGCATCTATTTTAACAACATGCACTTACTTTGGAAAAAGCTTTCGTCTATCTCTAGGAGCATTACATTCGTTTCATGTGTTACAGATAGGCACTGTTAAAGGTAACTATCAGAGGAGTTCTTCATTCCCCAACAAATAAATTATTGATCATATTACCAATATTACGTTGGTGGAAAATGCTTATATACACATTTTTAGCCACAGAAGGAAGAACATGTATTTTATTTTTTTAAATATTACAAAAGAAATAGTATTACATACTTTTATTTTGCACAATGCTTAATCATAATATTTGTTCAAAGTTTTCTAGATTTTTATTTATTTAGAGGTTTATTCTAATAGTGATGGACCAGACTTTTGACTACAGAATTCTCAGTAGCTTTAAGTGCAATCATTAGTTCCCCCCCATCATTTATACGGGAACAAATCCCAAACGTCTTCACAGAAACATGTGATTTTAGGTACCTCACCTGTAGAACAACAACTATCCAAGTGAGTTTATTATATCCTTGAAAAAATCCATTCTTTGACAGCTGCTCTCCATCATAAATATATACGCCCATCAATCCAAATACGCTACCAAAAAAACCTGAAAGTGAAAGATCGATTGATTTAAAAGTTTCAGATGAAAAACCATGCAAACAGGTTTCTTGTCATCAAGGTCTGCTCACCTACCTAAAATTTAAAAATAGGACTGGCATTTGTAATACCACCACGTTTACATGCAATCAGTGTTCAGACAGTAGCTTTCTTTTAAAAATAAGTTTCCATACTTATAACAGCTTTGATTGTTTCCATTAGGACATTGTCATACACTTATCTTACATTGCTTCCTACTGGAATGGGTTGATTTTTTTTTTATGGCACATAGTCAAATTCACTTAAACACAGTTTCAGTTCTCTTGAAACTAGCCATGACCGTAGGCTGAAGTCACAGTATATTCTGGAGGGAAAAACTTGGTAAGATTTCAGAGGAGAGGATGGCCACTGACATAGCAAGAGAGGGACATGCATCATTATTATTATTAATGGGAAGTGGGAATTCTCAGATTCAGTCTCTGGCACAACGAATGTTTACTAGTAGAGACTTAATCATATAAAAAAAAGATATTAAGCTAAAAGTAAAGTTTACTGGGTGGGAAGGGTACTCTTGTAGAAGATGGGAAACTGGTTCTAATCTCCTCAGGCTCCTCCATGGCTGGTAGAGGCTCTAACCCTGAGCAGAGAGAGAGGGGGAATCGTCTATGTCCCTGAACTTCTGTGAAAAGCTGACCTCTATTTTCATTGTGCATCTTTGCACCTGAAAAGAAGGGCATTGTTTTGAGCTAAATAAAACCTTTCACTTGACTTGAAACAAATCTGGCTGCAGACAAAAAAAAAAAAAAACAAACCTTTGGTTCAAAGTAAACCAATTGCTTTTACTTTCCGATTAATCTGCTAAATTCAAAAGAAATCAACTATTCACAAATCTCTAGTGTGAAATACTGGTACTTATTAACAATTGCATATGGAGACAACTTTCCAAAAATTATTCCAATAATTGCGTTTCAATTTATTTTGCAGGAATTCTGAAGGATATGAATATGAAAACCAGGTTAGATGTATATTTTTGTTGCTTGTGTTTTAAGAAAAGCTCTATTTAAAAGCTCTTGCTTATGACAGACTTGCCCCTGAATGATACATTGTCTTGAGTGGGTAACTCTATCTTGCACTTGCAGGAAGGAGACATTCAAGTATTTTTGAAACTGTGATCTCATATTTTAAATATTTTCTAAAAGCTGCATCGAGAAACTCTCTACCAAATATGACAAAATTCTTCTCATTTCTCAGCTGAAAGCAAACCTAATAGGAAGCAGATTCTATTAAGTTCTTGGTTGGGGCAAATTAAGATCACTGAAAAAGTAAAAAATGCTTTTCCAGAACAAACGAACAAAACCACCAAAAAACAAGTGATCTGATTCTCCCCATCACATTCATGTCTTCAGACATCAGGACCCCAGTAATACACTGCCTTAGGCAGTTTATGTTAAGGGTTAATTTGTTTTGATCTCATTGTTTTTACAAAGCAATTACTGGAACATTCAATATATGACCAGGTCAACTAGCAAACTAGTAAACTCATTTGATTTCATATATATGTTTGTGCACTGTAGAAAAGAAGTCTGAAGAGTGTTTTGTAAGAAATCATTGATTTTTCAACGATTATGAACGTTTATTTGGCAATTATTTCAGGTATCTGCGTTACCATGTGCCAAAATGTTTTTGGCACAGAAATTCAGAGTAATAATAGTCAGTAATAGTCATCAGCCTCTCTCCAAAGTTATCGGATTGGCAGCCCATATTTGAAAGAAGCAAGAATTGATGCTTGGGTTTTGCTTCTCACCTGTTCCAAATTCAAAACCATTCAAATTATATGGCAAACAGGCAGATGGGACTGTGGAAAGAGTGGAGCATAAGGGGCTCTGTTCAGATATAAGAGTCAGGGTAGCCGGCTCTGGCTGCAGGGGAAACGGTCACAACACTGAGGCCAAGGAGAAGCAGTACGGCTCCCAGGGCAAGCGCACTTCCTCTGTTCCTGCTCTTGGCTTTCCTTGGCGACAGATTTTACATCATAGCTTCAAACTAGCACCAAATCCTGCCTCAAATCCTGGACCAAGCCCCAGCTACCTGTCCTTCCCTGCCTCCAGACATCAGGAAAAGATTCTAAGGAGTGTATCCCTAACATCTTGTTCAAGAAACCTTAAATATACACAACTTCAATAAATACTAGCAGTTATTAAGTAGAAGTTTGTATTCCCTCCTCTACTCTCAAGTTTCAAAATATTGCAGACATGTAAATACATTAAAACATAATAAAAAAACACAGTTCTGCATGTTAAATGAAACCCTTCATAATTAAAATATAGAAACAGGAAGAAAAGGGGACAAACATCTTGCTTTTAATCAGACACTTTCTACCATGCCTCCAACCATTACATTCTGCCAGCCTCAATACACAGCTCCCATCCAGTGAAACACCTTTATGACTTAATTCCACAGCGCTGTGGATTTTTGATCAAGAGCCTGTAGCAAAGCGTTAAAAGCTCAAATTCTGCCAAAAGCATTTATTTAAATATACAATAAATATAATTATTGCCTACATGGAAAGACTAGAGGGAATCCATTCAAGGAAAAAGGGCAACTCCGACAATTGGTTATCAGCAATATCTTTTTGTTCCTCTTTTGCATGTGGGATTTCCAGCTCATAAATTGGACAAGATTGCTTTGAGGCGAGCAAAGGCCCATTCAAAAGGGATCAATTCTGCCACCATTAATGTCTATGTCTTCTAGACCAGACCCAGAACTACAAGAAGAAGATATTTCCTTATCAATGAGTGCATAGTAGGTATGGCTATTAGAATAGTACAGTCCCGACCTTTACACTGAAATAATCATGAAGTCCTTAACTCAGTTTTGTTTACACAGGAAGCAGGGATTTTTCTAATTTGTATTAAAAGTGACAACCTATAAAAACTGTCTACCCAGGTATAAGAGAAAAAAAACATTAAAATGTCTCAAAATATTGATTTAGAAGCATATTTTGTTTTAATGCTCCTGCATTTTCCAAAAATTTGTCAGATGAATTGTCAGTGCTTTTGAAATCTATGGGAAAAAATGAACTAATACTATTGCGCATATATATCTAAATACAGAGAGAGACATATCAATGCATTAGTTCAAAAGACAATCCTTTTTAAACATAAAGGACGCATAAAATCCTGCATAAGACACATTCTATAATGCATTTTAAATATAAATTCAATATAAATTCAAAACTTACAACTACTCAATAATCAAGTTAAATCAAGCACTAGGCTGAGATCAAAAAGCAATTCTTACAATTCCAGCTAGCAGAGTTTACACTACTCTTATTCCAAGCCTTTAAGAAAGTGCATTTATGCAGAACACTGAAATGTTTGTGGTATTTTTATAGAAGTTTTCTGCACGTTTATCTTAATTCTTCTGAATGCAATATTGCTCTAAGAGATGACTAAATTCAAACTTACCAAGCTGAATGTTTCTGATCCACACAGACTGTTTAGTTTCCTTTAAAATTTTCTCAAAATAAACCCCAGCAAATCCACTAGAAAAACATGCTATAAGAACTGCCATCAGGCCTACAAACTGAGATCCCGCTGAATGTTCCTTAGCGGCTGTTGCTTGAGAGTCTGAAGGCCACTGGATGCAAAAACAGTTATACAAACTTCACTCATAAAATTAAGTCGTGAGCATTTATAAAAGGCAAATTAGTTTTCTAGTAATTGTAACAGTTAATAAATACAATCATATGCTAGTACAGTTTTACATTTTGCACTGTACATATTTTAAAAAGAACTGCAAAGCCACCATTTTTCTTTCCATATTTTTGTAAGGAGTAAAATTGGCCTTAGCTGAGAGAATTCCCATTACCTTACACAGGCCCAGGATTTTCTCCAACGTGTTTTATAAGCTGGCACTGTTTCTCAGATCCAGGATGATTTTTATACTGGTGATGCACAGTAACTGACTTTTGCCATCTGAAAGCTACCTACCTGATCTCTACAGAAATATAGGCACACTCAGAAAACCACTCACACCAGCTGTCTTAAGACAGGATGAACTGTCATTTGAATGTGCCTGTCTTCAGTGATTATACAGGCAACTAAAATAAACTGAATTTTATGAAGCTAAATCTCACCATATATCTAAAGCTTGCAGAGTAAAATGCAATGCTGTGGACAAAAACATACTGAAGAGTCTAGAGTTAAGTACTATCAGAATTTTTGGTTCTTAATTTTGTAATTATTAAATTTAAAAATTCTTTAAAATTTAATCTGTACAGTTTATTTTTTAAATCCTTACATTTTAACCAAAAATTTCTAGGACATGCTAAAAAACTCTTAGAGCAGTCTCCTGTCTCATGATCCTGCTCTCTGAAAAGTCTGAATTGCTGTACCTGTTTCAATTCAGAACAGAGGCCAAATTTTCTCTTGAACAGGCTCAAATGAATTTGCCATGCTGAAAGTACGTCACGTCATAAGACGAGCAGCAGGCCGCTGCTGGCACAGAAGGTCTGGGAACCCAAATGCTTGACGTCAGAAGAAGCGTGCTAGTAAACATTGCGATCTGTCTGATTGTCACGTTGCTCTGGATGCCACCTCATTTTACAGTAGAACACCAGGACCGCAAAGAGGTGTTTCTTTTTGCCTGTGAGGCATATCTGGCATTCTCTAGCCTTGGCCAGTTGTGATTTGTAATTGCTGGTCATACATTGGCTTTGGTGTGCAGATGGGAGAATCAGGAAGCTGTACAATCATTATAAAGCACGTTCCTTGAATAAACACATTCAATAAATACAAACCACCTGTTAAATTATTTACCTGCACAAATGCCACTCCTGTCATCAAAATTACTAATGAAAGCCATTGGTATATACCCAGTTTCTTGCTTAACATGGATACAGAAAACAATGCTGTGGTAAGAATTTTCAGTTGATATGTAACCTAAAAAAAAGCCAACCAAACAAAGAGAAGCAGTTATTACCACAATATTCAAGTTCTTGTTTGAAACCTGCAGAGAAATCCAAATATACAATACCTGGTATGTGGCTGCATCTAGGTTTGACAATGCTACATACAGCAAGTTATTCTGAAGAGTGTAAATTCCTGATGGAATAGCAAGTTTAAGAGTTTCCATCGGCTTGTTAAGGATTTCATCATGCAGCACTCTGTTCAGAGTCCGTAAATTGCACTCTACCCAAAGAAACAATAAAAGAAATAGATATTCACTAAATGCAAACCCTTCCTCCTCCCCTAAAAAAAACCCAAACATAGCTGTATTCTGTTCTTTAAGATTGTTGCCCCCTTTTAATAGCTATCATAGCTATTAAAACACCAAATACACATGTGAAAGAACTGGAAATTTCAGTATAAAATGTACAAAATAAGACCTAGAGTAAATCTGAATATAACTTTTTCTGAGCTTAAAACTGTGCTGCTTTCTGTAGTAATACAATTGCTTCTTCCCTTCCACATCCACATGACTCCACTCATTGTAGGCTTTCACATTATCATTCATGCTTTGGACACAAAGGTTCTCATTTTTTCCTATTGCTACTTATGAATTTCATAAAATGCCTGAGCAAACACAAACTTCAAAGCTGTTAGCAGGAAACTTATTCTTGCATTGCTCAGTATCCACACCCACTTGAAGAGTCAGCAAATATACAACATGTATAGCGCGTTGAGAAGTGAAGTGTGATTAGAGTATTCCCAAGACTATTTCCTAAATGAGAAGGGAAACGCTTTGTTACGCCTGTACTCACATGTACGTTTTGCAGTTGCCACTACAATACAACATAGCAATTAGGAAAATTACTTGGTGCAAAGTTTGACACATACTACTGTCTTTGTAGACCAATAAAACACAGGTCAAAATCTTCAGAAGTTCAGCAATGACTACTGCAGTGGAGGATAAGTAACGAGGTCCTTCTTCTTTCAGTGTCCGAGAGTAACGCATGGTCAAGACTAAACTTGTGGTCTGAAAAACGAGGATGCCCAAGGAAAGGTATTTTAAATTGGTAGACATTTCTCGACTTTCTCTTTCCTGAAACAGAACAAAAAACCAAAACACGCACTTAAAAGTATGACAGACAATTCCGTTAAAAATTGGCATATTAAAAAAGGTATCCAGGGAATTCAGCCAGCAAAGCAAAACAAATACGAGAATAGTGAATATTTACTTCTTCAAAACAAGTTACCAACCATTTAAATCAGTAGGTCATATGTAACAAGACAACTCATCCTCTCTCCCCCCCAAGAATAAACCTTATTATATGAAAAAGATGTGCCAATGGTTTGTATTTTCACACAGTACACTGACAGAAATATTTTAAAGCTGAATCCAGAGGTGAACAGACACTTTGATACTTAAAATAAGCAGAAGAGAAACATTCCATTCAACAACAGTCAGAATTGCAACATACCAGTTATGAATAATCAGTTATTTTCACACTCAAAGATTTGGTAAGAACAACAAAAAAAACTGATATAAAAAAAATTAACACTTTAAAAATGTTTTTCAATATCACTATAAATGTGGAACCACATTACAACAATGGGAGAAGTGATTATTAATAGAGGAAATTAAGTGAAATACATGCGTAATTAAAAGTCAAATAAGGATGCTAACTGACAACTGGTTTTCCAACTAATGTGAAACCAAACTGCTTTCACAAAAGAAAGAATGCAAGTTTAACCCTAGCATCAAGCCTAAATTGTCCCAATAAAGTTATGAGGACTATTCTGTGTGTTTTAGGTAAAGCACAGGCTGAATCCTAGGAATTCAGTGCGTCTCAAAGATAACCCTGTTAATTCTTACTTCAGGTGTTAAACTAAAGTGTGTCTCGAAACTCATCCCCGTATGGCTAGACACGTCTGCTATATAAAATGAAAAGAGATAATAGCAAATAATAGAAATAGCACTGAGAAAAACTAACTACTCAGCGTCACCCAATGACATACGTAAGTAGAAAATAAAACCTTATCTGCACGTATAGATTAGCAAGAGCAATGCCTTAATGCATTGACTATACCACAAACCTTGCACTAATAAAGCTGTGTCACCATTATCTCTACCAGGAACTTTCATAAAGTTGACGTGGCTTCCTTCACCTTTGGCCAACGAATTAATTACTGACTTAGTACAGGAGATCAATGCAGAAAGCAATTCTCATTTTAGAGGTACGATATATTAGAAGGAAATCTGAAAAACGTTTTGCTGCTATTCAGAATATTATTTCATTTTCTGCTATTCTTCCTATTAAGTATGAAGAAGTCCCATATACACAGAAACGAACACTATCCAAGAAAAATTAACAACGACTGCCTTCGCTGCCTAAATATTCAATAACAAAGCAATGTTTTATAATTCCAAAGTGAAAACAAATCAATAACTACAAGTTAACAACTTGTTTTCAAGTAAAAGAAAAACAGTGGCAAGTCAAGACAACTCTCGTGCTTATGATCTCAGATGTTTAACATACACAGTACTTACTGGATGCACAAGCCAGAGCTGTCCTTATATACGCTGCACATCTACACTTATAAAAATTTTTACTCCGAACTACCTAGTTTTGTGCATACACCTGAACAGCATGCTGGTACTGCTAAATATTTGCAGCTGAAGCTGTTTTTCACTGTCTGCGTTTCTCCAGCTCAGGAAGGATTTCATATCTATTTTTAATGCTTCTTTTTCCCCCTCCTCCCCCTGAGATCTGGAGAGCCATATTGTTCAAATATTTTTGACTTGCATTTATCGTGTTTCTAAGCTTTGATAGATATTTTTCTAGTCAAGTATATGAAGTTAGCTGAATCTCTACATGACACGGACACTTAAGAGATGTGGCAGTAACCTGCAACTAATTGTGAATCACAAGCAGACATAAAAATATGAACCATGTATTTCTTTCCTACACAATAAATTTGTTTATAGCAAGAATTATAGGGCTGCAAAGACTTTTGTAAAAGTCTATTGCAAAGGAGAAAAAGATGCCTGGATGCAGAAACACATAGCGATTCTTTTTAGGACTCTTAATAGAAAATGTTTTTGTATGAAATATGATCTCATTTAATACACATGAAAAATGAACCCTAAAGATGCAACTGCAGAGGATGGTATAAATCAGAGATTTGGAGAAGAAAAACGCAGACAGAACTCAAATTGTGTTAGTATTTGTCAAAGAACAGGTTCTGGTAGAACAACTCGTCACATGAGGACGGTAACTGTGGAATTATGTATCCCCAAGAACAAAATGGAGAAGATTAGTATGTCAAGCAGAAATGTTGTTGAAGGATAGGTTTGCTATAGCTGAGACCGAGGAGGAGAAACAGAAGAAAAGAATGGTTCCCCTCAGGAGATGAAGAAAAAGTCACACGATGAAAGAGAATACCAGCAGCACAGAGAAGACGGGGGGGGGGGGGGGAAAGCCAACTTGCACAAGCAATTCCTTCCACTTTTGCCATCTACCTAATTTTTTTCAGTGTCGAGAACCAACAATTACACAAATTACGATATATAGTTAAATTTCATAAAAACACACTTACAGATAATGAAGTTTTTAAACTCTTCATTTTTCAATTTTCAAAACTGAATATTTTTCAAATGCAAATAATGGGAATGCACATCTCTGCTTAACTCTCTTGACCCAAATTTCTGCATTCAGCAAACCTGTAAAGTGTCAAAGGGTTTTTACAAACCTTCATAGTTCTCAAGAGGGCCATTCCTTAACCTTCAAAATAGGTCACAATATCAGAAAATAACATTCATATAATACAACCATCTACTTACTAAGCAGCATAAAATGTAATTTTAAATATCTATCACTAACAGCTTATTTAGGATGAGCAAGTATCAAAGTATTCAGCATCAAAACATACCGATTGACACAACAGTTTTATTAAAAAACCCACTAGCAAAGGTACAAGGAATACATACCACAGCACTGTTTTGAACTGTAGACACGTCTTCATTAGCAATCCTAATCATGATTCCAAAAAAAAAAAAAAAAAAGAGCAACTTTTCCAAAGCAACACTATCAATTTAATCTTGCTTCCACAGACCAATCACAAATGCATCCTCTCCTATTCAAATCAAGCGGTTGTGAAGTCACACAACGCATCTCAAAAAGCTGCCACTAGCACAACACTGCATTTCTTTACCAGAAGTTAGTAAAGCAGATTCAGAGTTTCCAAAAGTCACACAAAATGGACTCCAAATGTTGAGTTTAATAGCTGAAATAGGGACATTCATTAAAAGTTGTCTTATCCGTGGTCAGCAAGACAGGCCTGTAGAGAACAGGTGCTTCAGGTTTCATGCTCTACTTCAAACTAGCTGGGGCACGGAGCAGGAACTGCACAGTGGTGCAGCTTACATATCCCAGGCCAATAACCACCCTGTGCTAAGCACACGCAACTCCTTATCAGCTTCGGCTGTCTCTTGCCCTCCTGTAAAAGAGCTGGCTATTACTTCATAAAATACAATGCAAACTGAGGCTGGATCCAGCAAAGCAGCCAAGTACAGAACCTTCCACAGCTGAGTTGGCTTCAGCTGCTGTTTCACAGCAGGTTTAGATTCACAGATTACTACCGGCAGAGGTGTAATCCCTTTCTTCTAGCCACACGAGTTCCTGCTACGCCCGTTGCAACAGATTTAGCGTATGGCCGCACAATGAACCAACCTTCAGTAACAACCCACACTTTGATCGTCTTAAGTCAGTACTGAAAATGAAAGTTCCTGTCCTGTTTCTTGCACACAAGACTATAGCCAGGCTTAGTTTCTTACTGGCCTTTGGACAGATGTTTGCTATGCCACACAACACAGTGCTAACCACAGATGCACAAATTAGATCTACATTCACTATTTCAAACACTCGAAGCTGAGCAGTCACATTAATACAATGGCTTTACTAGGCTCATTACACTTTCATCTTATTACCCCGAGGTTTAAAACAAACAAACAAAACCCCCCTGCTTCTGCCTAGTTGTATACCATGTAGACACACCCTACAGTAACAGCAACAGCCAGCAACATGTAAGGCAGAGGAAGCGGTTAAGGGCAGGCCTACGTGGAAAGTCAATATGCATTAAGCTAAGGTGGTATTTACACTGCAGGTAACATTCAGTTGACGTTGGTGGATAAAATGCAGATACTGCGATAAAGTATTGTTCTCCTTAAAAGTATAAGGGAAAAGAATCCGGTAAAGGTTTTCCAGCATCAGGAAACAGGGAAAAATACATACAGGAAGTAATAGTTTCAGCTGATAAAGTAGCATGTTATGCAAAGTTTGAAAAATATCTGTTAAAATGAAGTAGATGTGCTGAGGTAGAGAATCACATATTTCTATTTCAAAAAATTCATTCAGACCGAAGGAATTAGTTTTGGACCTACAGACTTTCATCTCCTTTAGCAACTTCTCCACAACAGGCTAAAATTTAATATTTTATGTTTTACTGTTATATCATCCCTACACTCTCCTTCCTGAAACACTGGTAAATTCTAACGTTTTCATATGTATTAACATAATCACTTTGGCTTAAGAAATAGTAAATATACCATGTATATTTTATTTTCTCTATCTGTTCTTGAACAAAAATTGCTAATATTAACAGGATTTTTGACATAAGCAATAACAACAAGATGACAGGACTTTTCTTAACCTTAAGACCTTTGTCTTTTAAAGATCTGATGGTATAAATTATTGATCCTCTCAGCTCCTATCTATCCAGTAACAGAATCTTGTGCAAAATTGAGCTTTTGGTTACGAGTTTATTCTATATTTGAGCTTGCAGGAGGTCTCATAAGATCTGACAAAATTACTTTAGTTTGAGATATCCAAAACACAAAAAAAGAGAACTCTGGACGGAAACATGAATAAGCTCCTATTTTAAACTGAAATAACTCATTAGCCAGAATTCAGAGACTAGAGAGTCTTCTGACATTTTCCAAAGGAGGTTGGAGTTATGCTGCATATTATGGAGAGCCTTTCAGCAAGCATAGCCTAACACCTTCCTGCAAGAACAAAAGAGCAAGAGAGCAGCCACACAGGTTCAGGCACTCCCAACTTTTCACACGACGCAGATATAAATATATATTGAGATAAAGCGAGCATAGGAGTGCGAGGTTCAGTTTTGTCTAGCATAAAGTTATCTCAGTTGATCAGCATGTTTTAGATTCAGTGAAATATTTTAACGGTTAGGGTGCCTTACATTCTCACACATTATTTTATAGTAACAAGTCAGGTTACAGTGGATGCACAAATTATCCAAATATCATTCATTTGACTTTGCATTTCTTCTGCAATCACACAAAATTCTTTCATTATCCCAACTATCCAGTATTCTGCCTTATATTTCGTTAATACAACCCGAATTCACAGAAACTTTTTCTTATACTCACTGCAGCTGGCTCACTTTTCATTAAATTAATTCAACTTCATTTTCCCTAAGTTTCTGAAACTTCCCAAGAGAAGCCATCACCCATTTGAGAAACACGACCTCAAGTATATCAAAAACAAACTTTTTTTGTACATCACGAAAACTTGAAAAAAAGAATTTAGCATCCATCAACAACAAAAAAATCCATGTTACCCAGAGAAGTAGATAAAAAAATTAAAGACGAATTCCAGTGAGTTGCATAAGACAGTGCAAAAGAGCAGATTAAATTCACAGATTTGACCAAGCAATCCACAATAAAGGTTATGCCTGCTATTAATTTGCATTTTATCTATGAGGTAACAAAAAGACGTGATAGGCTACATTAAAGTGCATTTAGGGACTATTATTTGCAGGCACTTAGCACCTCTCAGAGTAAGACCCAATTCAAAAGTCACGTACAATAGTTTTTGTACATCTCTTGTCATGCTGTCTATCAAAGCGCGTTCAACAGTTATCACCGATACGTCTTTAGAACGTGCCCCTATCGACTGCACCAGAGGAACTCAGGAAAGAGGGAAGGTAAAACGTACCAGTGTTTCAGGTTTCCATCCTGCAATTTACACCTCACTGGCAGAACCTAGGATCTACATAGGCAGGAAAGCAAAAACCTTCCCAGATGGCGTCCTAGGGATGCACTGTATTAAGAGCAAAAGCATACAGAGTAACAGAAAATGGTGAAATAAAGCCTTTCCACATGCTATGGAGTTGAATTAATGCTTGTATTATTCTCTACCGATTTGCAGAAAGATTTGACATGAAAATAACTTCTACTGGCAACTATTCCGTTACTCCTCCCTCCCCTCCCACAAGCAAAGTTAAATTTAAAGAAATTACTAACTATTCTTATGCTTCCAACCTTTAAAGCATTGGCATTACTTGAACTGCATTCCTCCCAGCTCAGCTGTGAAACAGTCTCACTGCTGATACTCCTCCAGAATAAAAAGTTGAGTTACAGGTGTTATTGCTGTTGCAGGCTGCTATTTCATTTTACTATTAACGAGTATAAAAATGCTTAACCAAACAAAAGGCACTTGCACATCAGTTAAAATATAAAGCTAAAGAGAATTAAACAATCAGGCTCTTGAAAGAAAGAGGGAAGGAAAAAAACCAAAAGGCGTAGTTTATTAAGTTCTGGGTGCCAATAAACCAAGTTCTGCGTCTGGGATCTGCCACAAAATAAACACTGATTGAGTCTGCCTTATACAAAGGAAAAAAAAAAAAAAAAAAAGAGAAAAGTCAAATTTATTCCAGTGGAACAGGTAGGGACACACTTCCTGGGCATTGTCCTTGAAAGCAAGACAGCAGATTAAAGAAACAAAATATGTTCTAGTGTTTCTCACAAGAAACAGGAGCCTAGTGCTGATGTTATGCATAGACCAATATAGTAAGAAGCTGGCAACAAGGACGAAAAGCAGACAAGAAAGATGGAGTAAGAGCTAGCTCACTGAACTTGAAGATCCTACTTTTATAAGTCTCTTTCTTCTACAGTGTAGCACTTGCACTGCTCTTCCCTATGCTGGATAGCACACAAATAACACTCTACTTGTTAAAATGCAGCTACATTTCTCAGGGGGAAGTTCTATCCCATAAATCTTTTTGCAGAAGCTACTGGAGTCAGTATAGTCTTCTTTATACTTAAAAGTAGAATCTAATGCAACAACAACAGCTTATGTATGGGAATTAATATCCCAAATGGTTAATGAGAATGCACAGACCTTTCAGGATCTAGTAAGTGCTGCTGAATTAATTTCTGAATAGGATTTTGCATACAGTCTAGTATTTTTTTAAGTGCCAAATTTGGACCTCTGACAGTCAACAATGCATTTTCCTTACCCTTCCTTCCCCCCACCAACACATGTAATCTTTCATGTCTATGTTAAATCTTTATAAACCATAATAACGTTCTAAATATTTGTAATAATCTCAAAAATTCTCCTCCTCATTTTAAAACGTTTCAATGTGTTCCATCTACCTCATATTTGACACAGGTTTCTTCCCTGTTCCCTCTCATAAGTTACCCTTAATTGTCAACTGTCCCTCCCCAAACACATGACACTTTTCATCTAAATCACTGCAAATCACTTGATCATTTTAAAGCTTACCTTGCTCTTTCTTTTGTTCTTCAGTCTGTTACTCATTCTCCTTGCTGGATACTTTACAATGCGTATTAAGTATGCTATGTAAAAACAAGCTACGTCTTTCTTAGCCCTTGTATTCTTCTTCAGAAGTCATTAAAAGCAATTTCTCTAGCAAAGTTTTTCCTTTCTCTTCTAACAGAAGCTGAGCAATGAAAGTTTTGTTTTCAAATGATGGTTTCGTTACGGTACTATTTTCAATTCCTCCATACTGGTGAGAAAAATTAAGAACATACTACATTCAAAAAAATAACTTTCACAATAAGGATATCAAGCACAACACAGTTAAAAAATCAATGGACCTTGCACCAACACAGCTATTTAGTTCCCTAAACACAACTCTGTCTTGCCCTTTTCAAAATCATGCTGATACTCTTTCAGGATTATATACAGAATGGTTACACATTTAAACGCAACTACTAAAGATCAGCCAATGATTTCTTCTTAACTTTGCTCCAAAAACCTAGGCCTTTGCCCAGGTCAGTGGAGGCTTTATCAGTGATTCACTGCCATAGCATTCAATTGAGAAATTCCAACGTTGCCAAGTCTAACAAACAGAACCAATTACATATTAACTCATGCCTAATTTCAGATAGTGCTATAAGTTGCTTAGGGCTCAGGTAAGGTTTTCTTACATGTTTGCAGAAAACCTAGCAGAAAGCAGACTTAACACTTTTTTTTTTTTTTTTATGATCTCACAAAGCATTTTTTTTGTGGAAAGAAGTTTGTTCGAAAAAAATCTCTTTACTTAAAAACGGTCTCACAGTTCTAAACTATACATAGGATAGGAAAAGTTGGAAATTGTGAATCTTAAATGTGACATTTAAAGTTCCCTGTGACTATATATTTACTTTATCCTTTACACCAAAACTAAAAACTCCAAAGTAAGAGTTCTTTGACTGATGAGTATTTGATTTGGTTTGATGAGTGCTAAGGAGTCAGCTACTGAATATAAACCTTCAGTGTTCAGGCAACTTGGGCCCTCATTGAGCTAAATCTAACATCAGTACTTCTTACAAGATGAAGACTTCCCGTACGTGCACAGTAGTGCAATAGTTTTATATTGACATAACAGTCATTGAGCCAAACTCTGCCTGCCAACATAGAAATTTGATACAACGTGCCTTACTGCCTCTCTCTTTCAAACAGTACATACACTGTGTTCGTTGTATAGATCACAGTACACAAAGATCCTAGTAGCCACGTTTAGACTCTGGGAGCAAGAAGTCATTCTGTTCTCAGTTTTAGTCCAAGTTTCCACCCCTCCCTCTACAAGCGTACACATGAGTACAATACCAGGCCGGGCATAAAACGAGGCACTGCCCTAATGCAACGCCAGCAGATGTACCAAGCCACTGATGTACCTTGAATTAAGGTGCTGAAAGACCGAACATTGAATACAGCTGCGGTTCAGCTACAGTTTACACTAACAGACTTTATGAATTACTAATCAAGTCTTCACGCTTGAGGCAGTGCAGCCACCCTCAATCATAGTGACCTAGTTTGAGTGGACTAATACAAACTAGATACTACAGTGGAGATAAATAAACCTGAAGACACTTTTGCAGAAAGCTAGCAATTACAAATAAAACTAGACATCTAAACAATATACTGAAGGGGTCTGAATATAAGACAAGAAAGTTCAGAAATTCAAATAAGAAAACCCAAACTCCTAACCATCTTACATTCATTCTTAGGCTGCATCTTAAGAGAGAGAGATCTTTTTAGAGCCCCTCCTCCCCCTCAGAGATACCCTCTACTGGCGTAATCCAGCTGTGCAGCCTCCTGAGTTCCTATGAAGGCATTGATTCTACACAAGCAGCACGCTTATGGCCCTGAGCTCAAGTATCAGATGAAGAATAAGCCCAGCTTGCAAGTAATTCAAGAACATTGAGAGAGGAATAACTGTATGTAACAGGCCTGTCCCAAAGGTGAAGAATGCATTGCCCCTGCCTAACATTGCAAATTTGGAGCTGTTTTAAGCAGACATATGTGATCCGATTCCCCTAGGTACCTGGTTAAGATGATCCCGACCTTGTGCCCGTTATTACAAACGGCAGCATAACCAGTATAAGGAAAGCAGGCTATGCAGGTACCCTGTGGGACTAATGGTTAAGAACATAGAACCTGTCCTAACAATACATTGCTCTAAATAAACCAAGTCTGTCTACTTACTACCATCACAGCCTTTTCCAAAGCCGGCACTTTCACCACATATTCTACCTCTACAAATCAGAGTATTATGCTTCTTTAACCCATGGATCCTTATCTCTCAGAATCATGTTTTTACGATGGGTTCTCGCTGTACCTAAGAATATACAAGGGAACCATGAACTGCAGTTTTCCAAAGGAACAGGTTATTGTAAACCAGTTTCTCCTCAACTACCATCTGCTTCAAACTCATCCTGCAGCCTTTAAAGAAATTTGATGTGGCTTATCCTTTTACAAAAGACAGGTTTGCGTCACGGAGCTATGCAGAGACAGTTTTCGTGGAGTAGGCCCTATGTACTAACATAATAGAGAAGGACTAAATAGATCAGGCCCACTAGGTCCACACACGTTCAGATCAGTCATCTACAGTGCCTATGGGGAAAGGCAGCTCTGCAGGTTTGGGAAAAAACAATCTGTCAGGATGTCAAGCAACATTCATTTTAACCCCCATTTTGTCTGCCTGCACATTTGTTCTTTGAGAAGTGATGGCTTTCTCAGATCCCAACCCTCCCATGTAGAGGCCAACATGACAGACAAGCTTCACGCTACTGTCTTCACTCAGTTTTAAAAAGATTTGTTGCTGTGTTCTTTGTGCCTCAAACAACACATCCCTGTCACTGCAGAAAACAATCCGTGTTCTCTACCAAATCCTTCCTTACGAGTCTCCCTGTTTTCCAAGTCCTCCTCATTTTCACTTACGAAATAGTTTACAGGATTCACTAAAATACAATGCAACTTGAAGTATCCTTTGGCATTTATCTTCTACCTTGCAGTTTATTCCATAATATGCATTATTTTATCTACGCTTGTTATCTTTGCATTTTTTTTGTTTTCTGACTTCACCTATAAGCGTTTGACTACTATTATCATATTTCTAATTTCAAAAGCCCAGTACGGAATTGCGGTGCTACAAAAACACCTATGAGGTGTGCATTTCTGGTAACTGCACGTACAGCGCTGCACTAACCGCAGCCAGCGCCTTCTGAGCGGCGCACCCGCCAGCACCCACGCTCAGGGGCGCCCAGAAGGTGCGTGAGCCACAACTATGAGCAGCAACGACGCAGCTGCTAACCTGGTCTTTATCCCTTCCGGACTTCACAGACAGCAGCTTCCCCACGGCAACCCGACGGTCTCCCCCCTCCCCAGACCGCTCCATTTGCGGACATTTCTCTCAGTGCCCCTTTAGTCCCCCTCTTCCCCTCCCCCAGAGCTCCCTCCCCAGACCTCTCAGCCCCCCCACACGCCCGCCG